ATTTTCTGGTGAGTAGAGACGCCCTGGTTGCCCAAGGCTTTGACGACTGTCTCCACAGAGTCGGAGGCCTCCCTCAGGTCGAAGAACGTGAGACAAAGCGTCATCTTGCACTCCCGTGAAACTTCAATGAGTCTCGTAACCGTGTGGATATGGTCGATCGTGAACCCTCTTCGGAACCCTGCTTGCTCGCATGGCTGTCCTTCATCTAGTATTCTGCCGATCCTGTTAAGGATGACTCGAGTGAATAGCTTGTAGATTACAGACAGCAGGCAGATTGGGCGATAGTTGCCAATGTCGTCCTTCTTGTACAGCAACACGGTCCTGCTGGTTTTCCACGGAGTGGGTACCTTGCATTCCGACAGGTAGCGCGTGAAGAGTCGAGCCAGAGTTTTGATGATAACTGGCGGTGCATTCTTCAGATGTTCCGGTTTGACCCTGTCGAGACCGGGTGCTGTACGATTCTTCACCGACTTGATGGCGTGTCGGACTTCGGAAGAGAGAACTGAGGGACGACGTATCCATCCTGTTGCAGTTGATAAGTAGGCAGATGGACATGGCTATCGAAGAGATCCGAGTAGAAGTCGTGGATGACTTTCTCCATTGCCCTTCGGGACGAGGTTCCTGATGAGCCAATAAGTGTTTGAATTTCTTGAACCTTTTGAACTTCTCCGCAGCGTAAAGCGAAAGGCTCGTATTTCCTGTGTATTTCACAATTTTATTTTTTTCTCCACTGGTGGTCCACCTCCTACCCCTACTTTCACATTTGAGTGAAATTATCTCCAATCCTAAATTTTGGCTCTAAGAACCAATTACTCAAACAGTCACTCGTGTTCCTTTACTGCAGACTATCCTTTTAACTCGACTAATTCCTATTCAAATAGGATCGACGCTCCGAAGAAAATCAGGCACTATTCCACTATTACTGCCCCAAAATCTCAAAATTTTATTTTTCGTCGAAACTTTGCCTATAGGGGTAATTCGATGCCCTGATTACGAATATGACATTCATTTTTGATGCTGGCGCCATTTGGCGCCAGTTGGCGTCACGACGGCTGTTTTCACCAAATTCGGTGTAAACTTGTACATAGGGGTTTGGTGTCCTGATTACGAATATGACAATAGTTTTTGGAATTGGCTGGCTAACAGCTGGCTAAGGCGGTTACAAGGCTTCTTTCAACTGAAGGGGGACGTGTAAATTGAGAACCATAATCTGTGTAGTACTAGAATTTGGTAAGTCTTGTGAAGGAAATAAATAAAGAAGAGATGTTGTCATAGTATGCCATTTTTAGTGACTAGTTTGTCGTTTTTTGCTCCGTTTCTCGTTTGCTCGTTTGGTAGGACTCATCAATAATGATCATTCTTTGACTTTTTCACTTTGTACTTCTTAAACGAATTTTTTGGTGGACGGTGGGGTAGCAGGGCTTTTTTATGAACAGTTTTGGGGGAGAATTAAACAACCTTTTCATAGTTCGGCTTTTGAAGAGGGTCGTTTCATGGACTTCGGCCTCTGGCGGAGGGAGGGGGGTCGTATTTCCAAATTTTCCTCGACGCCTCGCTTGACCCTGCTCTCAGAACCCACTGTAGTATAACGTGAGGGTACCCTGTTTTAGTGTTCGCGATAGTTTCACCTTTCTTTCCCACCATTAATTTTCCGTCCCCCCTTCTTTCGTTTTTGAGCAATATGACCTCGATAGAGGATACAAGTAAATTAAGAAGGACTGCTGAAGATGAGCTGTCAAAACCGACTCCCATTGTGCAGATAAGTAATATATAATAACGGATAGCTCACAGCAGCTCCCTTCCCGAACATACAACGTACAAAGTGCAACCACCCCATCTGCAATCTCAGCTGCGTCCAGTCTAGTCAGATTTTTTCGACAGATGCTGAGGGTTGGCTGATATGGCAGTGCGCAAATATACTTCTACAAATGCTCTTCACTCATTTTTGGTGCATGAGCTTTGAACACTGAATGCACGCACTTCCCCCTTATGGCGAGCTCAGGCTGGAAATGAAAGGTGTGTAAAAACAAATGAGGTGATTAAGAAACTTTGTCTGTTGAAAAAAAAACAAAAAAACTTAATGGTTTGGCCTTCTATTCGTCTGACGGAATTTTAGTGTCCAGATCATTAAAAAGTGAATCGTATCGTTACCCTTCACATACCTCTCGTGAGAACTGAACTTCGCACATTCTTTTCACAACGCTACTCTCAGTTGATTTAGGTAGGACTTTAAATACACGCCCCCGAAATTAGGCGACTAGGCAATCTTTTCTGTGGGCGAGATAAGGCTATTTGCAAAGGTTATCGATATACCTTTCACACTGCTTAAAAGTGGGCGACAGGTCCGTTAGGGTCTTGTCAATGTTTTTGATTGGTGGGTATGAATGGCTATTCTTCTCCCTTTATGCAGTGACCATGTGTCTGTGCCCATCCGTACAGCTTGCTCTTTCTTGTGCTCCTTGTTCTGTGGGTGCTGTGTGTTCCGCCGTACCAGGGCCGACCTTATGGAAGGCCTAAGTTTGTGGTTCGATTATTTTTGTTGTTCTTTTTTTTCGCTTTTTGTCACAGTTCCTTCGGTACCTCTGACTCCATTACCAAACCCTCCTATAACCCCCCCCCCCCAGGATACCAATTTTATCCTGGAACGTGCATTATACAAATGATACAAGGTGCCTGCCGTCACGGAGTCCTGGGAATTGTTTCAATTGCTTCGGTACTTCGACATATTTAGATGCAGTGTAACGAACGTAATCTGCTTTGGATCCGCATTTGTAGCACGGGGACTGTGACGTTGCCAAACACCGCTATTTCCAGTGTTTCTTGCTCACGAAAAATTTACTGACTCCAGGCGAATGAAAGGCAAAATCATGAGCAAATCTTGGCCCTGTTCTGCTACGAAATACAGATCTTTCAGATGCTCAAAAATTTAGGTTCGGATTGACATCATTGATCGAGTAAATGCAGGGTTGTTATGGCAGACGGCGCCACCGTTAAAAATGAAAGTCATTTTCATAATAAGGGCAACAAGTTTACCTCTGTAGGCAAATTGACGCTAGTTTCTAAGGGTTTTCAGAAACTGGATCTGAAGGAAAGCTTCACCGAACACTAGCACATTGTGCCTGGCTCCGACGACATGAGTATACATACCTGTCATTGACTCAGCAGTTTCTGGGTTGAATGGATTCGAAGTGCCGTTGCAAAACGCAACGGCCACCACTAATTTGACTCCATTTTAAAATAGGCTATTGAAAGAAAACCTACATCAAATAACAATTGTAGGCATACACAATTAAATTCGCATTTTTCGCAAAATTCCACAGCTGAATGAAGGCTTCAAAAACATGTCAGGTCTAGACGACGCAAGGGAGTCCGCTGTCATCCGACTGAGATCGGATCCTTTGGGCTCTCGTGTGCCGCGGCTAGTGGCTGACATTATTTATAGTTTCGAATCTCAAATACAAATCAATATGTGCGACAATGACTTTTAACCGGTAGAACGACTGAGCACACGTGGTTTACTAACTCTTTTATTAGTACCGATTAGGATAGGGATAGGACCAAAGGGTCGGGGTGCTCGTCGGAGACGCGGCGATTGAACCCAATCGATATCACGAGAATGCCCCCGATGAGAGGGGAGAGGGATGCCTTGGTCGTACTACGACAGTACCTTGAGTTAAATCGATAGTGAGCGAACCGCTCGTATGCCCAGGGCTGGGGAATCTACTTTTGAACCCTTTATCTGGTCTCAGGATTTCTGTCAACCGGCACGCATACGACGCACGCATTTTGTCGCGTCGTCTGCCGTCTCTTCTGCAAACGCCGCCTCTGCGTCTCTACTCCGGAACGCCAGAGCGCAGACGCGAGAGCCCTCCTTTCCATTGGTGCTTTTGGCCTGTTGCCAGCTCTCATAGCTGAACCCTTCTGCAGTTTTTCCCTTAGCTGTGGCTACGTTTTATGACTACGAGCTTTCGCAGAACTCCTCGTGGGACACCCACTCAAAAATTCAGGCTGTTGGTACTAGATTAGACTGTACTGCTCAGGAGCATTTCCCGATTTTCTGAGCCCATCGGTCTTCATTCGGTGCCTTCAGCACTTTAATACCCCTTCTTGAAGTTACTTTTGAAGGAAATAATTCTTTTGAGTAGTGTTCAAGGGAGGAAATACTAGCGTGCAGTGTATGAGTATTACTTATGTATGTATGAAGCATAGTATGTATTAGGTTGTCTCATAAATAGTGTCGCTTTTTTTCAACCAAAAAATTTTCATCTAAATCCCATGCTTTTACATCGATTATATACCATTCGAAAGAGAATTGTCTGCTCTACAAGATGTATGTTCCCTTCCTATGTTCCATGTTTTCAAATTTTAGGCCTGCGAAATGGGAGGTCCAGCCGACAAAAATTGACCAAACCGACAACTATCTCTAACTTTATCTTCCCTTGGAGAAATCAATCAATGATGTACCCTCTACTTACACATGACCTCTTCTGAACATTACACTATTAGGTTTCCCAACAAGTCGCGTCGTTCCATTTCCAGACCTGGTTTTTCAACCAGAACTCGACGGTCGAGCACCATTACCTGAGATCTAGGTCGAAATTTTTTTATAGCCGAGACATTGAAAAACTAGTAGAATTTAAAGAACAAGTCATGACTAAGTTAGGAATGTACGCCTGGTTGATTTTCTCATCTTCTCAGGATAATTTTTTTCAAAGAAATGCGGTCACTTTCGCGGATAAAGCACCTTATACCTAAACACCTAAAATTCGAACTAATTCCCAACAAACATAAGAAAAAAAATCAATGCGAAGAGAGCAGAAGAAGTGCTCGTAAAAGGAACACCACTCGATATGAAACAATGGCGTTTACGAGGAACAATTTTAATTTGAAAATTGCTATGGCTTATCGGTCAGCCAATTCGAAAAGAAACACGGGAAAGTTTTTTCAACCTAAGAGTGGAATGTTTAGAAGAGGTCATGGGTAAGTAGAGGGTACATCATTGATTGATTTCTCCCCAGGGAAAATAAAGTTAGAGCTAGTTGTCGGTTTGGTCAATTTTTGTCGGCTGGACCTCCCATTTCGCAGGCCTAAAATTTGAAAACCCTGGAACAGAGGTGGAAGAGGAACATAGCATTCTTGTAGAGCAGACAATTCTCTTTCGAATGGTATATAAATGGATGTAAAGCATGGGATTTAGAGAAAATTTTGTTGAAAAAAAAGCGACACTATTTATGAGACAACCTAATATATAGAGTATTTCGTGTCACGAAATGTAAAACATGAGTAAATCCTGTACGTATACCTAGAGTATGAACAGCAAGTAAGTGTTTAGATCTAAGTTCATGTTCATAACTTTAATTCAAGTGAATCAATAGTTTTATCCTTTTCGTGTGGTCATGTCAGGCAAAGGGTCATCCTACAACCTACCCCTTTTTCAGAATTCACCTCCTGGCGCTCATGTCCTTGGGGGACATTCAAACAGAGCGTTCAAAAACCGCTGGTAGGTGAATGCAGGACTAAGCGCAGGACTGGGAATAAACACCCGGGTAGAACAATGGCTGCCCACCCCCCCAGAATCCTTTCTTCTCTTTAAGGCTTAGTCCCGAGTTGTATTAGTGGCTCACTTACATAAATGTCCCCCCTAAAGACATGAGCCCACCTCCTTTTCTATTTCATTGAGCAATTTGAAAACGATTCCGCGATTTACTTTAACGATGAAGCTGCATCAAAACTGCTTGCACCTTCTCTTGACATGTTTTTACATGAGAGATGGCTCTGGAGGAGACCGCAGACGACGAGCGTACACGCCCCCTGCCCACTGGGCGCGAACCCTGCAGCCAACCGTATGCTCGCCTGGGTTCTCCTCGCGAGAGAAATCCTGGTTGACAGAAGTCTTGTAACCCCCTTTATCTCAGTCTCCTAGACTGTGGAACCCAAGGAAGCCAACCGCTCCGTTCCATACACTCGGTAAATGGACGCTCCGACTGCGGTTATATACCCCTCACCCCGCCCATCGGGCGCGATAGCCTGTGATTGGCCCGGAGCGGCCTTTCCCACGCTCGCGGCTCTTCCGAGGCACCCGACCCGAATCAATAGTGGCGTTGCTGACGCCTGACAGTCCACCAGATATTGATTGAAATACCAATTGCACATAACTACTAACTTTGATATCCAATCTTCTTTATGAAATGTGGACAACATGGAAAACATATGAGGTAAGATTACCAGGCAAAATAAGATGCAAGGGTACCGGAGTGGAATGAGAAGCGATAACAAATAAGCACACATATAAACAAAGAGAACTTCACGTAAACACAGAAAATTACATGTGGACATACATGACAAACATGATTACCTTCACAAAAATCGTAGAACATGGAACTAACATATATTCGAGGCAATTCCATTCAATCATGCGAGGATTAAAAGGAAAACACGAAGAAGAATAAACGAAGAGAAAGAAAGAGGAGGAATCTAGGCAGAAGGGCAGTCGTATACCAGTATTGGCGGACTGGCAATACTGGCGGACAACTCCGCCGCGACATTGTTCCTTCAACCCTGGCCTTTGTAGACTGTAAAGAAGTTAGGGAGTCCTACTTTGGACTATGTACACGGTTTTTCCTGCTTTCTTTATGCATATCGATTCACTCAGCGTCCAATAGTTTATATGTGACTTGGGAATTCGATATTTTTACCCCAAATTTTGTCTTAATCAAATCGAGAGGAAAAAAAAGAAAAGAGGATTTCCACTACGAGACACAATCGAATTCGTTATATTTATGTGCCATGCCCTTTTCACATTCTGCAGCCTCGCCGCTGCATTGCAGTTCCTCGCCCACTTTCCGCTTTACATCCAAGCCTAGGTAAGCTGTTAATAACCTAAGCATGAAGAACTGAGGCTTTGCGTACCCTTGGGAGAACATCACCCATTAGTACGCTGCCGGCAAAAAGGGCACAGCCTTCCGTAGCCGAGCCAAGTAAGAAAGGGTTCTGCGCTTTATTTATTTATTTGTTCATTTAAAGATTAATAAAATATAGTAAAACATAATTTAAAAAACAAATATAGAACTTAATAAAATAAAAACTAAACAAGTTAAACAGTATACTTTGTTTTGTTTGTTAACTGCTGTTTTTGGCCGCAGTTCGCCTTGCGAATGTTTCACAAGAATGCTGGGTTGTGAACAAAACT